GACCGTATACTTGCCTTGTTTGTAGCTTTGCGATACCTCGAAACCGCTCGTTCTATAAGCTCAGTGACAGTAAGTTCGCCATTCCCGCACGGAACGATGACACGCACAGCATCAAAACACACTGTAACCTTCATGTTTTCGGCGCCAAATTAAATCCAAATCCTTCGCCGTACAACGGTGTATTGCCACACAACGAAAGAATCATTCCTCAACGATAAAGATACCAATTCGAATCATTCTGTTATGAAACTATGAATAAATTTGAGTGGATTTTGTGGTTACGACCTCCCACGTGACTCAAACCACCAATCAAGAAGCGCTATTATGTGCGCCATTAAATTTTGGTCACGTGCGACTTAGTAGGGAGGTGTGGGAGTCATAATGACATGATGTCATTCTGCGAAATAACTTTCGTTTGCATGGGTCGCTAAGAGATATTTAAAACTCTCAAGAACAAATTCATTAAAGAACTGACATTAAGAGAGAGTATGTTCGAGATTTTTTCTATGTTATGAGTAAAACCGTCATCCCTAAATAAATCGTATGAAATTGAAAGAATTTTGAACAAGCATGACGATGACCGATCATTCTTCGATTCAGATGTGACACGAGTTTCCGTGCCCATCTTTTAACTCTCTTTGTCTTAATCTCATAATACGCATTTTGATTTTTATAATTATTGATGGACGTTTTATTAGTCTGACATGGACTGTGACATCATCTAGCAGTTAACAAATTTATTTACGCAATTCCATTCGAATACATCACACGAATCGCTCGGTTCCTTATTTGTGTGGAAAAAATGGAAAGGGAAGTGTCTAAAATTGTCCCATCATTTTTAGCATCAGGAATAGCATACAAATCAAAAACCGCTGTAAATAACCAATGAGGCAGACTTCTTCCGTCAAAATGAACAAAAATACCGGATGATTGTATTAGAGAAAAAATTTCAACTTCACAAACAACAATAAACTTAAAAAAAAAAAAAAAGAACTATATAAAATTTTGCTTATCAGTTGATGTATCAAAGTGTGAATTACAGCCAGCACTCTACATCTTATGCAAGTGTAGCTGAATAATTACGAGAAAATTGAACATATAGAGCTTTGCAAAATCTTTTTAGTATATTTATTACATTGCTTTTGTATCTTCTCCAGTACTTCACTTTCTGTTTTTGGAAGTTCTCCATCACCGATTATAACGTAACAAAAAAATCAGAGGCCACCGTAATGGTTTACACCAACGCATCTTCATTAGCAACTTGAGGTTTCTAATGCGATAGCGCAAGAAAGTAACTGTTATAGATCAGCTTAGCAACTGTTTAGGATCTGGTACCAAGATCTAGGTAAATAATCTGGATGAGTTACATCCCTTTCCCCCCCCCCCCCCCCCCCCAAATCTGGCCGGCGATTGAGCAATAATCCGAAGTACAAACCCATCGTAGTTTCATACGAAACCTCTTTGATCTATGACTCTAGAATAATCTAACTCTCTCTTTTTCTAACGTAAAATTTAGTTCGACTGGATGCTGATAAAACTTATTTATGTATGATTAATTTCATTCAAGGTCATCCAACGAGGTCAACCTTTTTATTAATAATCCTTCTACAGTTTTCCGGATTATTGCGTAATGTCACCAAATTAATACTTTGATGTAGCGCTTCAGCCTCGCTTCCGCTCAAACTGAAACCAACACAAAGCTTCTTATCCGGATAGGAAGTGTTAGTCAAGTCTGTTAAAATGTTTACGCCACTCGAACAATAAGCTATTCTTCATCTTAAACAATAAATTGTTTCGTTCCTCGAATTCCTTTTAGAACAACAACAATTTAGCAGGGGCAAATAAATCAGCTGACAAATCCATTGGCTATCATTCAATGCAAATGATCGGCAACTGAAACGACATCGAAACGATCCGACAGCTGAGGTTTAAAATCCGGCTTCGAAAAATGTCTCATGATTTTGTGAACAGATTGAAGTTTACCTTTTGAACATAGCATCTACTGACCTTCATTTCAAATCACTTTAACAGAAGCTTCTAGCGACGCAATTTGCATAGCATTCGTTTGTGTCGTCATCATTTTCATTCAATAATTCATTAATCCATCTGTTTTAATAGCAATTACTTCGTTGGCTTGTTCGTTAATTTCTTAACTTTTTGAATATTCAACAATTTTTTTTCTATAAACTCTTTTTATGATAATTGACTTATTTCTCGATTCATTTCTCACTAGGGAAGGGAAAGGAGATTTGTTTTACAGCCTTCATTTGTACCTAATCGAGGATCATGAGCAACAGCAAGGTGCCTGTTGTCATGTGTATACTGTTCCACAATTCTCGACTAGACAGGCTGATCGATCAACGAGTGTCACAAAGCGGCTTTATTTTTCTAAGTTGGAACAGAAAAACCCTCAGCCGTCTCGAATGAAGCCTTTCTCTGCATTCTACCTATCCGTCCCTGACAAAAGTGTTTTTTCTTTCTTCTCTTTTTTGAATATAGACGTATATTTTTTTTCAACGTTTGTCACGCACGTTTCTAACCCCAGTAACTGTCTATCGATATTCAAGTTTGATACTGACAGTGTTAATTTCCTTGTTCCGCAAAGGCACATTCAGTTCAAGACTGGTCTGAACAGAGTTTGACAACAATAAAACAATTACAATATCTGCGGTTAGATCACCTGATTGTTATGATTATTCTATTTTACCCTAAAGAAAGAGAATTTTATGGAAAAAAAAGATAAGAGAGAACTGGCTTTCTCAAATGTTCATCTTATAGCAGAAATCATTTCTGGCTAATAATTTTCGAGAAGCCATTTGCATTTTTTCATTTCCTGGTTTTTTTATCGCTCGTAAGTGCTAAACATTTCCTTTCGACGTTTTCTGTTGACAGTCCTAACGGGTAATAGATTATTTCAGAGCAGCCATTTTGATTCGTAATTTGTACATCGCAGTTTGATCTGTGAAGAAAGCTTCTTGGTTGAGCAAGAAATTACTGGCAGGAGTTTTGAGATTTGATCAATGTAATCGATAGTAATAATAACATTATGTTTTAGTAAAGTTGAGGATAGAGCACGGCATCGATGCATACGAATATTAAGTATCGCATTCGATAATTTGATCATCAGCCCGCTCAATGGCATAAAACACTTGTCTCTGTTTACGAAAAAAACTGACCTCCATTTCCAAAATTGTTGGTTCTCTCCGTTGGTAACAGGCTTGGATACGCAGTGCTTTCTGTTTGAACGAGAGAAAATCTGTCTGATAAGTCTTCAGTCGCTCGGCCATTGAGTCGTAATTCACATTTGTCAGCTTTATCCAACCTTTGTGCCACTTCAATGCGCTTGTGTCACCTCAAGAATGCGTTTAAAATCCGTTGTCACATATTAGAATGAATATCACTTTCCGTACTTTTCGTGACGCAAGTTACCATCCCAATCAAATTTTTTTATATTCACACCATTACTTCCAGATTCCGACCGACTGATTATCCAAGAACTGTTCGATTTCGAAATACCGTGTTCTAGATGGAGTGAACTCTGTACCTTGAAGCTAGATAAATCAAACGATATTTATACTTTTGCAGCCATTTTTATACAGTATTTTTCTGGTCCTGTAAAAAGTCAATATCAGTCATAGATATTAGTCATCAGGTTCAAGATGCAATGAAAAGCACCTCGACGGTAAGCAACCGTGATGAAATAGTTTTTAAAAAAAATTCTGTCATCAACTACAATAACAATTTTTTTCATTTTTTGATCTTTAATTTCATAAGGCTAGTATCAACGTAGACATATCATATTAATCGTATCGGTGCTCATTAAAGAAAAAATTGTTTGCACCCATGTAGTCCTTCTATATTTAGAATAATTTACATAAAGAATTTAAAAAAAAGCCTATCTCATGATCAGCGGCTGTTTAAGCAAGAAATAAAAAAAAATTCGAAAGCAATTATCTTGTCGAGTCTAGTGTTTCTCAGAGATATGCACATCTTTTCTCTTTCCTTTACTTAGCTTCCTTTTTCCATAAATCAATAATCCGTATAAATTTATTCATCTTACATCGCTTAATTATATTATAATTCGGTTCGATATATAAGTTTGTTAATTTTTGGCAATTCTGAGTAGCTTTACACCTCAATGTAATGCCGGATTTAACGATGTGTTGTTCAGTCAACTCTGTAAGAAAATTTGACACTTTCGAATTCGAGACACATAAAAGTTTGATTGTGGTTTCCGCTCCAGGGAATACTTCTATTCATCAAGAGAAGCAAGTTTCGACCCTTTTTTTTTTCAGCCAGCTGTAAGCTGAACGTCAGAGTACCAGTTTTACAATCTGCATTCATTTGTAGCAGAGTGGAGTTCTTGCTTCATGGCCGACATTCGCAACCTCCCTGAATCGGGGAACTTGATGTTTGTTTTTTTTTTAACATCATCACCCCGGACCCGAACTGACCGTCGTTAACTATCGGGTTTCGTTTTAATATCTGAACGCTTGGACCCTACTAAATTGGTGATCAAAAGATATTTTTTGGAAGTAAAAACCCACAGATAAAAACTATTGGAAATGAAGTTTCAAAGAGAACTTGGAGGTACTCCATAGTTTCCCCGCTTAACTGAAAAATAAGCAAACTATGACCAGACCTGAGCTGAGCGTCATTTGGCGCGAAACAGCGCGAAATTGAAGACGAAAAATTAAATACTGGAAACAGCGTTGTCAATGGAAAGTCTGTAAGCAGACAATGTAACAATCATGGTTTGTCGCATCTTTTCGCAGTCCCGCATAATACTGAGGAGCCGTCAGACTGCTCCTCATAGCCATGAAGAAACTAGCAAGGCTGTGTAACGTCCTGAAAAACGCAAAACCACCTACTCCACTTCATCAAACTCAAGTCAGTTAACTAACTTTTACAGATTTTTCGGTGATTTTCAAGGAGCGCGCCTGGTGCCCAGGTTGCAAAAGCGCCATGGTTTTTCTTGGCTGTGGTAGCTTGGTGATGACTGAAGAGGATAAATAATGGCGGAAGGTTTGATCACAGATTGTCGTTTGTTATTGTCGCGGTTTGAGAGCCTAAACACTGTAAGATTTGAAAAATTTTGTGAAGTATGGAGAGAGATGAACTTCTCTTTAATACACTGGTAAGAATTTTCTCCAAGATGATGGTTTTTGATCTGACAATAGAAGCTGGTTCTCTTTTCTGCAAGCTGTCTTTAATATAAATTATTAGAATTAGGCCGTCCAGTTATGAGCTCAATCGATGTCTGTTTTCGTTTTTTCCAGCGGTGGAAGAGATGGCGACCGAAGAATACAGGTGTAATACATTGTCATACAAAGTGATTCTTATGATACGAAATTTCAGCGCAAAACTATGCAAATCAATTGCAACCTGGTTTATCATTTTTTTGTTTAATTCTGTTACAGCTTGTAGACTACTTGTTTCGTATCATTAGCACTTACCTTGAATCAACTCCAAGTAGCTTTCAGTGTCGTATTGGAGCTCTGTATGCTCTGTATGCCATCTATCATACACAGCTTTGCCAACCAAAAGTGAAGGTAATCTACTGTATGCAGTTTTCGTTGTCTGTGTTGTGTTTTTTGTAAGGAGATCATCCAGTCTGCAGGTTCTCTTGTTAGATTAATTGTAATATTCTTTTGTTACAGATTCGAATGACATTATCGATGATGAGGGACCTCAAGGAACTTCATAAACAAATCATTGAGCAAAAGGTGATACAGAATTGCTGTATTTCTGATACCAACTCTGATTATTCAAGATAATGACGTTATTGGTACCCTATCGACCCCAGTGGACTCCAGTTAAGAGGTCCAGGATTCAGACCTGGCCGGGTTGACATGTTTTGTTCTTGGGCAAACACTTTCCTCTCACATTGCCTCTCCACCCAAGAGTATAAATGAATACCAACGAATTGTCAGGGAAGCCTGATGACATTCAGGGAAGGGGGTAACCTTGTAATGGACTAGCATCCCTTTCAGGGGGGAGTAGTGATACTCTTAGTCACTTCATGCTCTAGTGAAATCAGGATAAACTTTGGCTGGGTGGGCCAATGGTCTTGAGTATAGACTTTAGCTTTTTTTTTTTCCTTTTTTTGTACCCCTCTGAGTGTACAACATGAACAGTCAGCATAACCTTGACTAAAAAATGAATGAATACAGATATTACAAAGTATTTAGTAAATTTACTTTCCCAGTTTAACCCTGGACTAGTGCTCCTCTCCTAAACAATACTGCACTTTGATGATTTATGCATACATTTCTTTAGGACGTCTGTTAAGGAAATTATACACAATGTGTTCAACAATGTAGTCTTCATGTGATATTACCAATGTTATTATAC